AAAACGAAAGCCATGAATCAATCAATTCTGTCAACACAAAATGGCTTTGTACCTATTCGCTGAGAGTCTAAAGAGAAAATGAATTGTCTCTTTTTCGTAGATATTTATTTTATTATATTCAGACTATCTTTTGTTCAAAAGTAGAAACAAACTAGTCTTTCGGCTCTATTCTGTATCAGTGACAAATTCTTGTCACAGTTACGAAAAAATATATGAAACAGTTTAAATTTGTCAGTCACAATTTGGGCTATTTGTCTTTTAAAATGAATTAGAGCAATTAGTCCCAATAGTGAAATACTCTTATACAAAGAAAAATTATTTTCTAAAAAATTCCGAATACAAAGTCTGGAATTTGTCCAATTTATAAAAAACCCTTGTTTGTAGGTGAAATATAAAAATTTCTAGTCAAGAAATTTTCATTTGAAAATTTTGTTAAACATTTTTCTCGCCAAAAATATTTATTTGAAAATTTGGACAAAAGAATAATGGAATTTTGTATAAAAAAGCAAAAAAATTCGGAATGCAATATATTAAAATTTCTATAAAATACTTTAAAAATTTATTATTTATCAAACAAAAAAGTATTTGATGAAAAGTAATTGGCGCTACATATGTATCTGCATAATATTATGTGCTACATATAAAAATTACTTAAAATTTTTTTTCAGTGAAATTTTTAGAGAAAATTTTTAACTTTATCAAAGCATCGTATTAGCTAAATATTTTTTTGTAAAATATTCTTTGAGTTTACGCAATAAATTTGCATACAATGAAAATACTAAATATCTNCTCACAATTTGGGCTATTTGTCTTTTAAAATGAATTAGAGCAATTAGTCCCAATAGTGAAATACTCTTATACAAAGAAAGATTATTTTCTAAAAAATTCCGAATACAAAGTCTGGAATTTGTCCAATTTATAAAAAGCCCTTGTTTGTAGGTGAAATATAAAAATTTCTAGTCAAGAAATATTTATTTGAAAATTTGAGCACAGTTTTAAAATTTTCGTATTTAAAAAAAAAAATCCGAAAAACCAAAATTTTGTTAAACATTTTTCTCGCCAAAAATATTGATTTGAAAATTTGGACAAAAGAATAATGGAATTTTGTATAAAAAAGCAAAAAAAATTCGGAATGCAATATATTAAAATTTCTATAAAATACTTTACAAATTTATTATTTATCAAACAAAAAAGTATTTGAATTTTCAAAAGTAATTGGCGCTACATATGTATCTGCATAATATTATGTACTACATATAAAAATTACTTAAAATTGTTTTTCAGTGAAATTTTTGAGAGAAAATTTTTAACTTTATCAAAACATCGTATTAGCTAAATATTTTATTGTAAAATAATCTTTGAGTTTACGCAATAAATTTGCATACAATGAAAATACTAAATATCTGAAATTTTAAAGCTTAAAAAAATTTATTTGATAAACTTTCGCTGAATTATGAACCTAAAAAACTTACTTATATTTTGTTTTTAAGAATACTAAATTCTAGTTTAAGATTACGTGGTTTGATTTGAAAAATAGATAAAAAAAAATTAAATACAAAAAGTTTTTAAAAATGCATACACTTTTTATTAAGAAAACTGTTCGTTGCATAAATTTTTGAATACAAATTTATTTATTTTTGGTAGCCTTGAAAAAAATTATTAAAAATTTTAAAATTCAATTATTAAAAGACTGAAAAAGCACCAACCGCAGTTAAAAATTAAATAAAGAATAGGTATATAAAATATACTAAAATGTAACAAAAAAAAATACACAGTAATGTAAAAAATAAAACAAAAAATTTTCTACGTTAACAAAAAATATAAGAAAAACCCGCCATAAATTTAAATTTTGGAAACAAAAACATTTTCAGAAACACAACAATATTTTACTCAAAGCTCTGTTTAATAAAAAAACTCATGAAAATATGAGTTTTAGATCATTTCAATATNATACTAAATTCTAGTTTAAGATTACGTGGTTTGATTTGAAAAATAGATAAAAAAAAATTAAATACAAAAAATTTTTAAAAATGCATACACTTTTTATTAAGAAAACTGTTCGTTGCATAAATTTTTGAATACAAATTTATTTATTTTTGGTAGCCTTAAAAAAATTATTAAAAATTTTAAAATTCAATTATTAAAAGACTGAAAAAAGCACCAACCGCAGTTAAAAATTAAATAAATAATAGGTATATAAAATATACTAAAATGTAACAAAAAAAAAAATACACAGTAATGTAAAAAATAAAACAAAAAATTTTCTACGTTAACAAAAAATATAAGAAAACCCGCCATAAATTTAAATTTTGGAAACAAAAACATTTTCAGAAACACAACAATATTTTACTCACAGCTTTGTTTAATAAAAAAACTCATGAAAATATGAGTTTTAGATCATTTCAATATTGAGATTGGTGCGATTGATAATTTTTTTTTAGAGCACAAAAATTTAAATTTCTAGTAAAATGCTTTACATTTTTTCTGTAACAGTTTAAAAAATTTATAATTAAAAAAAAAAATCCAAATGAATAAATTAAATAAAAAGAATAAAAAAATAAAATAAAAAATAAATGATAAAATATTAATTGAATAAACTGAATGCTGCAATTTTTTTTAATTCGTTCGAGGTCTGAAAAAACAAAAAGATTAAAAGTAAAAAAAAAATGGGAAAACAATTAAATATACAGAGGCTCGAACAAGTTACCACATGTTATTTTTTTTTTAATATTAACAAAGGTTTTCCAGATTTTTTTTTGTTATTTTTCTATAAAAGCTTTCTATTTTTCTATCCAAGCTTTAACCAAAACAAATCAAAATTTCAAACTTTATACAAAACTTAGGTAATTATAAAAAATTTCCATCCAAGTTTCAATTATTTTATTCTGAATCTTTAGCACATTTTTGGGTATGCAGACAAATAACCAAATAAAATTAACTTGAAAAACATTGTGAATATTAAAAAAAAAAAACAACACGTGGCCACTTCCCTGGGTCACCGTATATACTGAAAATTATTATTTTTTTGTGTGAAATCCCAAAAATGTTGAATTATATATTTCAAACTTTTAATTAAAAATGAAGGAAATACATATGGTGAAAAAATAGAATAAAAACAATATATAAAATAAAATTAATAACGATTTTTAGGCGGCCCAGTTAATCCTAAGAGTATTTATAAAAGTAATGCGACTTGAAAATCAACACGTCGTCACATTCTTGAGTCACTGTAGATACTGAAAATTAATTTTTTTGTAATATTGATTTATATAATTTTTTATATTATACAAATCTCAACTCTTTAATTAAAAATTAATGAAAAATTTATTTAAATAGTGAAAAAATTATACTAAAAAAAAAATATATGTATTTATTTAAAAAAAAAAAATGTATTATGATATTTAAGCTTCTCAGTTCATATTAACAGTATTTTTAAACGCAATGCAGAACTCTAAAAAATATTAAATATAAAATTAAAAATTCACATGAAAAATTGAAAATTATTAAATTTTACTTATTCTCATACATACATACATGCACATGTAAATATTTGTGGTCTAGTGAAATTTATATATGTATTTCATACATTTTAGAGCCAAATTTTAATTGTAATTTTTTGTTTTCAAAAATTAATTTGCTTCACCGCCACAAACTTTCTCTCCAATTCCTTTCAGACGAACTCGCCTTCAGCATCAACCGCCTTGTCAAATCGGAGCACTTGTCCAGCAGTCATCATCCCTCAGCGCTACTTGCCAGCACCAACACCAGTTCCGCCGCGTCTGCAGCTGCGAAACATGATGAAGACAACAACAACTCTATTTGCATATTGAGCAAAAATCAAATACTTCAATGGAAATTACAACAACCACTGAGTAGCGTCAGCGAACAGCAGCAGCATCCCTTCATTGTGCGCGACATAAATTCCAGATCACGCAGTCATTCACGCACCTCATCATCACAAATCGATCTCGACGATGATAGCAATTGCCGACGTTCGTTACATTCACGTTCGCGTTCACGATCGAGTTCGGTGGAACTTGAAGTGGATTCGCCGCCACCGCCCGCCTCATACCACACCACCCGCTCCAGTCCAACTAGTGTGTCGCCGCCGCCGCCGCCGCCCCCAACGAACACAACGGAATTCTTGATTAGCGCGAGTCCAAAAAAGTCTGAAATGTTTTCGGTATCAGCGCTATTGCGACGCGATGAGCCAACGCATGGAGCGGCGACGGCGGCGACAATGCGTCCGACGCAAAAATTGCACGCGACCGGTGGTTTAGCCGTAGGTGGTGTGAATCCCTTCGAAGCATTTCGCAATGGTTATGCGAGTAGTGGAGGTGGCGGCGGCGGCGGTGGCTATGAGCCGCCATTCTTTCAAAGACCGCTGCTGTCACCCGCCTTTCCGTTCGCTTTTGCCGCCATCGCATTCCACCAGGGCCAGCAATCTGGTCTGACCTCAGCGTAAGTAGCTCAATTCAAATTTCCAACAAAAAAGTGAGAACAAGTGTTAAGCAGCAAAAAAAAAAAATAAAAATAAAATGAAGGCAAAACACCAAAAACTTAATTAAAAGCTGCAAAATATTTAATTGTTCACTCAGTGCCATTTGCATGTTTCTGCCTTTACATTAGCTTTATTATTATTTTTTTTTTATTCTCACCCTCGACCACCGTTTAGCTACCATCCCGCTTCGCAGGAAGATCTCTTTCGTCTACGCAATCTGATGGTGCCGCTGCAGGCGGGCCAAAATGGCGATGCGTCTGGTCTGCCGCCGAATTCCCATCTTGGCTTGCCACATCCATCGCATTTGCACTTTCACCACATGGCTAAATGGCCCGGCCTGCCGCAATTCAGTGACCTTTACTCATGCATGAAGTGCGAGAAGATGTTCTCCACGCCGCACGGACTCGAAGTCCATTCACGGCGAACGCATCACGGCAAGAAGCCCTACGCTTGTGAGCTGTGCAACAAGACCTTCGGTCATGAAGTTAGTTTGAGTCAACACAGGTATGTTGTTGTCCCAGAAGCCCCTTTTAAACATACATATTGTGTTAAAATTTAATGAGCTCGTGGAGAGTGGAGTCAAAGACAGTGAATGTAGTTGCAATAAAAGGAGTAGGCTGCGAAGTGTTACATTCGGCAAACGAATTAATGCGCTGTGTAGTGCAATTAAATTAAAAACCAAATGTACCATCCTTTTGTAAGTAGCACTCACTCTCATCCACTGCTGTCTGGTCGGCACAGCACAAAAACATTTTATTTGAAGATTAAAGCGTTCTTAGGTTAGTGGTTTAAAAGTACACAAAGCTTATTTCCCAAAAAAAAATTTAGTTCCTACATTGCACTTTCTCCTTTATTTGCTTCATATTCATTTAAAGTTTCCACCCTCTCGTATCTTTCTTTTCCTTTTAGAGCTGTTCACAATGTAGAGAAGGTATTCGAATGCAAACAATGCGGAAAGCGCTTCAAACGTTCCAGCACGCTGTCTACACATTTGCTAATTCACAGCGATACGCGGCCTTATCCGTGCAGTTATTGCGGCAAGCGTTTTCATCAAAAAAGTGATATGAAGAAACACACCTACATACATACAGGTAAAACTTAGAAAACTAAGTTTAAAAAATTTTACAATTTGCTTAACAAAATTTTGCAAAACGACGACGAGCGTTTCTAATACCTTCCGTATTGGTACCGTTGCCAGACTTCTTAATCCCAACTATTATTTTTTTAACTGATTTACAGTCATGTGAAAATTAATAGGGACACGACATTTTGACCAGTTTCGGCTAATTTTTTTTTTTGTTTGTTTAATGCTTATTATTATTATTTTTTTATTAAAAATACAACTGTCTATATAAAATTTCAAAACTTGTAAAAAAAATTCAAAAAAATTTTACAACAACAACACACTAAGGCTTTTTAGAAAAAATGAAAGTATGCGGTATTGCGGATGGTATTATTATTTGCTTTCGTGCAAAAAAAAAATTGTCGAACACACTTTGTATGGAAGAAAGTGCCAGTCAGGAAAAAAAATTATCAAAAATCAACACAATCACCAAGCGACTTGAAGCTTGTACTTTCTTTTGCTAGAATTAAATGGGTTATAAAACTGCATACTTAGTTTTTTTTTTATAAAAATTCTTATTAAAAAGTTTGTTGTTAAATTTTTCTCTATAGTTTGAAATTTGGGCTTATGTATGTGGGAAATGATGTAGGCGGCCATCGACATACAAACATACAAGTATGACAGTGGGGACCCGTACTAAGACTGATCGACGAATACAACACTGACAAGGATTGAACGGACCACACTGAACATACTCAACTATAGACTTCACGAGACAAACGAAGGACAGCAATACGGCAGATTGTATTTGACCGCCTTCAAGCGAAGTTGTTAAGCTAGTCGTAGCATTTAAAGTTAAAATTGATATGTAACCGTGTGTGTGCGAATAAACGTCCAGTTTTGTAAACATTAAAAGCGCGTTTTAATTAAAGACTAAGAGGATTGGGAAGGCCATTCCTACA